CATATAAAATTTCATAATAAAATAATAAAAATTACAAAAAAAAATTTGTATTACAAAAATAATAAATATTAATGAAATAATTAAAATTTTTTAAAAAAAATGTGAGTTAGACGCTTCTTTTTAAGACGTACGTTTGACGCATCTTTAATTATTTTCGGTATCTGTTTGAACTATTCGATATGCCTATAATGTAATTCTCAAAATGAGTTTTGAGATGATATAAGTGATTTGTAGATTTGACTACTGTACGATCATTAGAGAATTTTTAAAGTTAGCATGTTATCAAAATTCTCGAAATACTATTTTTAAATCGCCTACTTTGACAAGTCGTAACATTTGCTACGATTGATTGTTTCAGACGCTGTTAACGACATAAGAAACTAGACTTTGAGCACTTCGATATGGTATTAAGAATGTAATATTTTGATTTCGTTTTGCATCTTATAATGATTTCGAAAATTGAAACAAAACATAGAAAATAATAAATAAAAAAAAGTTGTATAAGGAATGTTCATGGAATGAAGTATATAAAAGCTTTTTAAAAGATGCAAAAAAGTATTCTTTGTGCAAGAAAAGCATACTTCGGAAGGTGGGTTATCAATTACTTTTCTATTAAAAAATTAATTGATGAAATTCTAACACAAATCTATATTAGTGCAAAATACTAAAGTCATCAATTCAGATTTTAGAGACTTTCTTAAAATTTATGATTTTTAATACATTTAATGAATTTGAGTAGAACTCCACATATTTCATAAGATTAATTTAATAAAATTATACATTAAAAAAACTTATAATTTCGTCATTTAAAATAGCTAATTTATCTATCTAAGAACAAATTAAAAATCAGATTTATATGAAAATCATAAAAAAATCATTACAATCTACAAAGTGAAGCAAATAAATATAAAAATTTAAAATCTGTTCAATCGAAAATTAGAAGTCATTTCAGTATAATGTCAAATATTACGTACAAAATATGAATTAAATATTTTATGATTAAAGATATATTTAATTGGTGAATAAAGTTTTGAAGATATATTTAATTCTGCATTATTTTACTATTCCAAAATGCAATATACACTTAAAAAAAGGGGCTCAAACTGGCCCTATAGTTTAAATGTATGTATGTATGCATGCATCTAATTGTCAAGAGAAACTATTGTTTTTCTAACTTGTAGGCGATGTCTTTCAATTTCCCAAAAGAAGAAAGGAATCAGCACAATTTTATTCATATTTGCTTCTTGTTGGTAAATACATTCACGATAATTAGATTTTACTCAATTATCAATAAAGTAATCGTAGTTCAGTTTTGTTCAATCATGTAATCACACTTTAATTTGATATCAATACGATAACTCCATCTATTTCCTTCACTAATCTAACCAAAATCGAAGAATTGATTTTCAATTAATGAAGTCCTTCATTTATTTCATCGAAATTGAACATATTTCATACCACAATTTGTCGGTCTAGATAATGAAACTCGATGGAGTTATGTAATATAAAAAGTATAATTTCCATGAATGAAATCATATTAAAGTATCCATGAATGAAATCATATTAAAGTATATGTACTCAATTAAATAAAATTGAAGTACAATTAGGTGATTGATATTAAGGTTCGTTTGATTGTAAATGTGGAAAATGAGTAAAAAGAAAATGAATTTCAGGGAATTGAATTGCCTAGAAATTATTTTACTGGGAATTATAATTAATTGTGTTTTATCGGCATAATTTTTCACTTGAAAAATGTTAAAAGTTTGGTATCCGTTTGACTTCATTTTTCATGAAAATTGTCCATTAAAGTGATAATTTTTTCTACAATTGGG